CTTGGCTAAGTCCCCTGAAGTCGGGAACTCATAGAGTGTGAATAGCAGCGGAAGGTTTCCGTCACGCTCCGAGATAATTGGTAACGGTTTGGTTAGCGTCTCCTGTCCTATTNAGGCTTTGCATCATTTAAATCTGATGAAGATGGAACAGCTGCAGCCATGAAGATAGAATTTTAGTTATATAATAGTTCTTTGTTCAACTCTTTTAGCTAGTTTATATCAGATATTAGTCATCCCCATTACTACTGGTTTAGAATCTAAACTAGTAGAATCATAAGAAAAGCAACAATAATTCGATATTTATTTTTCGACATTTTTCCTCTACTATATTTTTCCTCTACTATATTTTTCCTTTCGACATTTTTCCTTTCGACATTTTTCCCTTTCGATATTTTTCCCTTTCGATATTTTTCCTTCGATATTTTTCCTTTCGACATTTTTCCTTTCGACATTTCTCCAGCACACCGACTCGATAGTATGTAACATATGACGAGCATATTTTCAGACATCCATCAGCTAGATGACTTGAAACTCTTCAAAGACGAAGTTTCATGTATAGATGAGAAAAATAATTCGTCTTTTTGTTTTCAGAATCCTATATTCGTTCTTGTTCATACTAGTAGAACAAATTCAGTTAACTTATTTTGTTTAAACTAAATTTTTTTTCTACTTCGTTGAACTAATCCATTACAGAAAGGAAAAGAAGTAGAATGTAAGACAAGGAACTTTTCAATATCACTATTATAGTTAACAACAACCGATGAATAATCAGACATATTCAGAATACGGACCAGATATAAGAACAAGAAATATTTTACCACATATCTTCTATGATGAACTTCAGGATTATTAGTTAAATATGGTTTCTTATATTACGATTACAAAAATTGATGGCAATTATTAAATTGTTATTAATATATGTATAGATTGTTACCTACTTTATTGATTTCTTTTCTAATTAGGGTGGCGACTGGAAAGTCCTTTTTTTTTATAGTTTCCTATGTAAAAACGTAAAAGTATATCGAAGCATAAAATAGTAGAAAAGCAAAAAAAAATACAAGGCTTATCTCATAACGAGAAGTCCCAATTTATGTAGTTTAACATTTATTATATATGCAAAATAAATTGAAATTAATTCAATTTGAAGATAGCTTAAATATTTTGTGTCGCAATTTGATTCTAATGATTTAAATTTAAGAATCACTTTAAACGAAATAAATTTAGTTTAGGGCGTGGGTGTCACTTTTCAGTAAGACTAACAATTGCTCCACTCCTACAACCACCCAAAAAATCAACATTAATCATAATTCGCTTAGAAAACAATGAAATCCAACAAAATTTCTTAATGTAATTTTAGTTTCATATGTGATATTCACCATCTTAGCTATTGTTGGACGTTTTTATATAAAATTAAATAATATCAGAATTCATAATAATCTCGAAGAGTACTTTCTAAAGAGTTTTCTTAATAGAACATAGATGGATTTACTATGGCTTTATATTTTTAATTTTGTTGCATATTTATAATTTGACATGATGAACTTTTAAAATTTATTTTCTTTAATAAACCTTTAGAAAAAAGATCTTTTACAAGTAGAAGATTTCATTTTATTTAATGAACATCGAATAAGATGAAAAACATAGAGTGCTATAGGTATTACATATCTAAAACAAAGGATGACTTTTCGTAAGTGCCATATAAGCAATTATGATATGATGAAATTTTTTTGATGATAACAAAAATAAATAATCAGTTAGTTCTCATTACCACTACCTATGGTAAGGATCTTTTATGACGTCGATTTATTTACATAAAATGTTTTGGTAAGGAGAATATGTGTCGTTTTCTAAATCACTTTCTCAATAATCTAATTTTATAATAACTAATAAATTAAAATTGATCTCTTTTTACATGTATTATACCAATGAGCCCCCAGTACAACATTCTCTGTTGCAAAGTGAGACTATCTCTAAACCAATCTATTGAATTTCTGGTTTCATTTAGGTTTTTTATCGTCAGGCGTATGTTCTCTCAAAGTCTATGTGATCTAAAAATTTATTATAAGGAATGGCAACTCTGAGGATTCTCACTCATACGATATTAACTATCTTCTGATTGAAAAAGTACAATTTTTGTTTTTGACTGAAGATTTTCTATAAAATAAACTAATTCACTTTCAAATAATCGATTAAAAAAATCTTTGATATGAATTTCGAAAAAAAGTTATATTTTTTCTTGTAAAATTCTCCGAAGTTTGAAAATCTAAGAGTAAAAATATAGATTTTAATCTCGTCTAAAAAACAAAATGATAAATGCAACTGTCTATACTATCAAAATCAAGACGAAATCATTGATATGTCTATGGTTACAATACTATCGCATATTCATTACAATGAAAACATGATTAATAAATTCTCTTTCTGATACACAACTTGGAACTTCTTAATGACGAATCCATTTTTTTTAGAGAAATACTATTCCTCCGATTTCTTCCGACGATAAAATACTAAATAGAATCTCTTTTCCTCACTTTTTTCATATGAAAACAAATGAAAATTCCTGGTGTAGCCTGCCAATTTATATTATAGAATTTAAACGACTTACAGTTATATAATTTTTGAGCAAACTTCAACCAGAATGATCAGCATCTGTATAAAAGAAAAATGTCCGGTTTTTTCTTTCGTATACATTTCATCAAGCACTTTATAGAAACAAGAGAACAAATCAATAAACAGAAAACACTGAAATTAACCATGAAATAAAAATAGTTAGAAATAAACTATCAGAATAAAGTAGGGACGGCGAAAGGATTTTTATGTATGTTAAAACTAAACTTCAGAGCATGAAACCAAGGATGGGTATGGTTGTGAGTGGAGTGTAGGTGTTAGTGAGTTGTATAGAAGGATGCCAGAGACACACTTACATCTATCTGAATTTCAAGGAAGATTTAGAAATTTTCTAGAAACTTCTAAGGATTTGTACTTCAGTCGACTTTCATAAATACTGATAAAACTATTCTTTACTGTTACAGATCTTGCTGTTTTCTGCTTGTTTGATAAGTTTTGCTCATAAGTCAATGGTTCAACTCCTTTCATTTTAACATAATGTTCTTTTTAACGAAACGACAGATTTTTATTTATTAAACATTCAATGATGGATGAATGTATAATAACAAATAACTATACCTTAGCTTTTCTCTCCTATGAGCTAATAAATAATTAGACTAAATCCTTCAATTGCTCATATATACAAAAGACTACCAGATATTGCTGCAACAAACCACATAATCGGCTCCAAAAGTTTAGCTTTTCTTTAGCCAAGAATTACAAAAAGTTTAATNGTGACGGGTTGAAGAATTACCACCCCGTCACGGGTTGGCACGAATCGAAAAAAAATCATTCAACCCGTGAAGCGGGCCGGGTTCGATCCCCAACGGGTCGGGTTGACGGGTCGGGTCAAAAAAAACGAAACGACCAACATCTCTGGTCTACATGATGGTGGAAAAGAAATATTCTACGAACCGAGTTCAGAATCAGTTGTACGAAGTTTTTGAACAACCTAATGCTATAGTTACATATCGCAGATAATCATAGTTATGCATGACACGAATTTTACTCTTAGAAATAGATTGGTATGTCTGTCTTTTTTAGAAAACTCGCATGGAAACTAATTAGAGTCCAAAAATCTTCTTGAGAAAAGCCTGTAAACAGATGATATCCAGCCGACTCAAGAATAGTAAACTAACTTTTGCAATGCGGAAATGATGTAGGATTTAGTGTATGCAGTAATTCATCTTGGATACACTTTTCTCAACTGCTGAATCTCAACTTCACATGCTTGCATTGGAGCAGCCATTTTGACCGCATGTGACCTTTTCTAACCTTAGAGTCATTAGATGAGAGTCGAGATCTAACGCTATAGAGCGGTGCGTAATGATAATTGCAGATCCTAGTGAAATATTTCATTTTATAAGACAACATTGTTTTAGGTATGGAACCAAACTTTAAGCTTTTTTGACATGTCTAGCGGTTAAGATATTAGCATCTTGAGGAATATTTTTTTGCTAAAAAGTTGTTCGGCACCACATGGGTAGTTGTTTACCGGGTTGAACTCATACTTTCCTCTTGAGTTTTTTTGTTTTGGAGTGGCAGAAGATAAATGGTCGATTTTGTGCAAATTAAGTTGCTAAAGTTTTGATTACGCCCTCTGATAATCCTAAATTATTAGTTTTGGGGAGAACAGTTTCAGTGAATTCAAAAGGACAGGAACAAAAATATCCATTTCAAAAACTTCTATGATGAATTAAGGGGAATTTATTTTGAAATGGACTTTCGTCAGCCTCGTGAAATCCAATTCGCTGAAACTTCTCCAGCTCCCAAAAGATTGACCACTGAAAACTTTCTGAGAAAGCTATCAAAAGATTGATATTTTGAAAAGCACAAGATCGATCATGGTTCTCATAAAGAGACTCCTAAATCCAATGCTTAAATAAATAAAGTAATGTGTTTATCGATTTGCATGGGTTTTAATTCCGTCGGTGGATTTTTTCAACCTTTTAAGACATCTTCCTTGTTGTTTCGATTCAATAAGAATTAGGATCAATGTTTTGGAAATTAAGAAAAATAAGTCAGATCGTTTATTTATCAAATTGTATCGATACAGGAGACATTGACTGTAAGGGCAGTGATGAAAAACTAGAGAGAGAGAAAAGACTGTAATATTTTATCCAAATCTTCATTCTGTAGAGAACTGAATGTAGGTCATGATACCTTATTCGTTATTGGATTTCATCCATGTTAATATGTAATCTAAAAAAGTTAAGTTAGCCATGCTTGCCATGTTCATGTATATTTAGTTTCGGTCGTATTTGTTCTATTCTTTATTTTTGATCACAAATCCCATGGAAGAATCGTCTTCACTACCAATGTCTCGATCGCCAAAGAACATTTGTAAAAATACGTCGTCCACTACGACAGCATCGTCGTCTGCCGCATCAACCATGTTCACCGGTGACAACCGATTGAATAATAGTCTGAAACCAATTGAAATCTTAAAATCAAAATCATCGAGTTCATTCCCAACTATGTCGTCAGGCTCAACGCATTTATTATCATCGTCCTTAAGTCACAATCAACTATTTAGTAATGATAAAGATATTTATAATGATGAACAGTCCTCTTCGTTTCTATCACAAACTCATCCGACGGAGCATGATCGACCATTCGAACATAAGCCATTTATCGTTCTGAATCAAAATAAGTATTTATCATCTTGCGAACTGTTTGAAGAAATTGATGATATTATTTGTGTTTTTTCTCTTTAGTGTCTCCGAACCGACTTCGTCGACGTCATCATCATCATCATCAGCAACATTGCCGTCTGAATCCAGCAGGTACACTTCTGTTGCATACGGTGTCGATTGGAGTGAGCATGCACGACCAACGTCTCACTGCTGGTTTCCATACGTATTCAATGAATCATCGAGAGTTCAGCTATGCGCTCACTTGTCTTGTGAGAATAGCAAATCGACATTCCCATCATTACTTCTGCAATGTGAATCATGTGCATTAATTATGCATGCCCATCATTTGCATAATTCACAGGCGACCAAACACAATTTGATTCCACCTTGTCGTCCATCATTCATCGATAATTCAGCATCTGGAAGCTTGACTGTCGATGAAGAAGAGAATTCATCGAACTATAATCGACATTTTTGGTCATGTGTATCCGTTCTTTCGAAACCATGTTTGCATTGTAAACATAAGTCGACGCCTTCGAAGCTGTCTGCTAACAAAAGTGATCGAGCATTGCCAATGCCCGCTTTGAACCTTAAGTATCAGGATGCATCGATCACAAATTCTGTAGTCGAAAATTTCGATTCGAAAATGTCCCAATCCTCCAGTGGTTTTGTTTGTCTGTGGTGCTCACAAAGTTATCATCGATTGTGTTGGGGGCAATACTTTGCTGAAGATGACAAGATACAATGTGACTATGGCATATTTCGGTAGGTTTCTGATAGAGAATGACTGAGCCAGCTGCACCTTTGGTTCTATGGAACTAGTCGTAGAAGAAGTTGGTATCGAAAAAGTGACTGCTTTTTCAGTTTTCGACCATCATAATTGGCGTAGAATTATTTATTACACGTAAATGATGACTCATAACGAATGAAGAACTTCGAATTTCAGAGCCACGTTTTCAATTTTTTGGTCTGTTGGTTTAAATTTTTGTCTGTACAAGTTGTGCAGAATAATTTTTTCTAAACAAATGAAAACTAAGCAGTTAGACAAATTTCTAGCAATAGCTCAGCTGAATAGTGAATAGTCTGAGCGATTTCGATTCTGTCATGCTTCTTCACATTGCTCACTACCTTCAAAACCAAGTGAAGCACTAAGCAATTGTAGTTTTCAAAATCTCGTAGAAATATATGAAGAATGAGTTATTTTTGATCAATCGACTTAAATAAAAAAAAGCACTTCGAAACCAATCACTACTATATTTGCATAATTGATCTTTTTTTTCATAGAATTTCAAGAAAATAAAATGCAAATCATTCGAGTTATTTTGAATAAGCAATGAGTCTTTTTCAAGCTTACTAAAATTTTAGATGAAATTAGCTGTATTTTCAAATATGTTATCGAGATCGCTGCAGTTAATAGACTACTCGTAGTATCACAATTGATGATTTACTTCAAATCTTGAGGCGTGTAAGGAACAAAGAATCTCGAAGCTTGTTCATATTATATGTTTATTAAAAGTTGTATGTGAAAAAGATGCTATTCATCTTTAAAAGTTCGTGTATAAGTTGTTTGACGCATGTTGATCGTTTCTTTCATTCAGTTAGCACAAACTAAAATCGATATTTTGGTTTTCCTTCGATAGAGATATTATTGTTCGACCACAATGGCTGCGTCGTTCCAATGAATCTTCATCTGGTTTTCAAGCTTGCGTGCCTTCAGATTCTGTAACAAATAAATCGAAATCAAACAATTTCCCATATACGCCAGTTATTCTCTTCGTAAACCGATATTCCGGTGGCCAATATGGCGAGAAAATCTATCGACAACTCATACGAAAACTGAATCCACGTCAAGTTTTTCTTCTAGAAAATGATGCTACTATTATCAATGCTCTCGGAATTTATTATTCGCTACCAAATATCCGTCTTTGTGTTCTGGGTGGCGATGGCAGTGCTGCATGGGTTCTCGGTCGTCTTGCTGAAGTTTATCCATCGAGCAATAATCCCCCTGTGAGCTTTTATCCGTTAGGAACGGCAAATGATCTTTCGCGTATATTATCCTGGGGTCATCATTATGACTCGAAACGTCTTTTTCCGTTGCTATTACGAATTCCTTACGCTCAAGTGATTCCAATCGATCGTTGGCAAGTCGATATCGAACAACTTGATATGCTAAACTTGACTCCAACGATACAGCAACATAGTCGGACTGGATTAAAAATTAGTCGACCATTTCAAGCATTACTCAATCCACCGAAATTCGTTCGCAAAACCAATCGAGTCTCCTTTCAAAATCATCGTACGTTGCCAAATACATGTTTCATCAATTATATGAGTTTCGGTTTGGATGCCGCCATTGCTATTGAATTTCACGATCAACGAACGCGTGATCCGAACAAATTTTCATCACCATTGAAAAATAAACTGATGTATTTAAATGAAAGCTGCAAATATTTAAGTGACTTTTCTCGATCGAAAATGTGGAGCCTTCGCTCCTATATTCGTTTGATATGCGATGGTGAAAATCTGACTGATGCCGTACGTGATTATCACACGCTATTGATCATCAACATTCCAGCCTATGCATCTGGTACAAACCCGTGGGGAAACTCTTCATTGACGAGTTCAACTCCAAGCAATACTCATCAATCACAAATTATTCAGAAAGATACAGATTCTCTTGATCACATAGCAACGAGTTCAGCTGACGTAATCAATTCTTCATCCAATAAATATAAAATGTATGAATCGGTTACCTTGAATAGTCGAAGTGTGAAGCAAACTACTATTCCATCAGCGACAACACACACAGCCGACTCTTTCGAACAGCAAGATTTTAGTGATCGGAAAATCGAAGTCGTCGGATTGAGTGCCACGCGTATGGCTTCGATCCATATAGGCTGTCGTGGCAATCGGATCGCCCAATGTAATCATGTCCGTGTCGAGGTCTACTGTCCGATGACAGCACAAATGGACGGTGAACCTTTCTATTTATCAGATTCTGTTGCTGTCAATATTAGCTATGGGGGTCAAGTACTTGTGTTAAGAAATGAGGACTGATAAACGACAATGCTTATTTTCCATTTAACCACCAGACACATTTTAGTTGTGTTTATACGAGTTTGTTCTAAAACATGATCGAAATACATTCTAATGTATTTGATTGATTTCTCGAGACTGTTTTTATCAATACTAACTTTATAGTTGTCAACATAGGCTTATCTGAGCGTCCAAATATTTTTGGTCTTGTGAAAATGCATCTGATAAACGCTGTTTTTTTTGCATTCTTGTAAAACGATCCAGATTCGATAAACGTATCAGAAAATGTTTCAATAAGGAATATACAAATAGATACATATTATTGTTTAGGTTTTTATTACGTTTAACAGAACAATAGTTGTTTTATAACCGTAAGTGATATTTTCGAAACGGAACAAAACTGTTTGCTTTTGAGAAACTTTTGAGTTTAGCTTGTCCGAGATCTAGTTATTGACAATATATGTATTAGATATTAAAAATAATGGTAATTCAATACTGACAGCTTGATATTGATTAATTCGAATGCAAATAATACTAGAGCATTAGTATTTATAAATGCTAATGTCAATTCTAATGCGATAACTCTATCATCGATCAAATAAAATCTATCCATAAAGTTCAAGTGAAAGATAATAAATATTTATTACCTATTGTGACACATTTTTTTAAAATAAATGCGAACAAGTATCCATCAATATGTCATTTTACAATATTTGACAGCAAAACATGAAGTTGTTGCTTTTTAACTTAAATTAAAAATCGTATAAAAGTATTAACAGAAAATGATCAGGTTATATTACAGTTTTATCTAATTTAATTTGACAAAAAATACAAATAGAATAAATAATTGATCGATTTAAAATTGTTCGCTTATTTTAAACTAGTAATTGAGAACAATTAATTGATCACGTTATTTCTTTTTTCTTAATTATCTATTGGAAAGAAACTTTGTTTTTTTTTCTCGCTTTTTAGAATCAAGATAAAAGTTTATTTCTATCGATCATTGATTATACGCAAGACTATTCATCTATTGGTATATCACTATAGTCATCATGTTAAAAATTCTCTTCTTATGAATAGATCAAAACAACATAATCAATTATTATCAAATAAACAATAAGAAATAAAAAATAAATTAAATATAATATTATTGTCTCACTCAATCATTTTTGTTTTCAAATCAAAATAAAGAAATAAATAAAAAAAACAAGTTCATTTTTGAAATGATCTAACTGAACGCACACGATCTATTAATGTTATAAAACTTTCATAACGATGTTGTAACCATTGAATATCTGCTATACGTTCACGAATTTTACGTCGAATAACCATATACATTGTTAGAAAATTGCCAAGAAAGAGAATAAAATATATTAGAGCAAGAACTTTTAACATAAGTTGCCAATCAGGATTAGGTTCAGCAATTTGATCAATTGATATATAATAAAGAATGTAAGCATTATATAATTGAAATAGATATCCAATAAATAGAAATGGCGCTAAAAATGTAAGTCCACGTAACATCCATGAATGAAAACCTTCAATTGTTATTTGTAATTCATCTGAATCACCTAAAGCTCTTAAACGATAAAGAAGACCTCTTTGATAATAATATAGAAGAACTTGAACAAAACTTAAATATAAACTAAATATATAATGTTGTTGTCGAAACATTTTATAGGATTGTGTTGATGACCATGTAAGAATAATAGATGAACATACTGTTGATATAAAATGATGTAAACGCCACCAAAATTGTATATTTGAACCATTTGTAACAAGTATTGATTCACGAATTGTTAATGTACAATAATACCAAACAAGTAGAAAATGAAAAGCAGCATCGATTACACGATTAGTTGGTATTATCGTTGACATTAATAATGCTATAATCATTACAATTAATGTAACACGTAATTTAAATTTTTCATAATTTTCTTTATATTTCCATTGTTGAGATTTATCTAATATAGATACAGGTAATTCACTACCAAGAATAATACGTAAATATCTTTCAGGTGGTTGTGGTAATGTATATTTAATTCTTTTAAAATAATCTGAACGTTGTTGAATTAAATGTTCATGTATTGTATTTAGACGAATTGAACGTTCTTCAGGTGTTTCTCCTCGTTTTTCACTTTCACGACGAATACGTAATAATTCAGATTTATCTTTTTTTAATTTATTTTCTTGTTGATCATCTGGAATAATAATTAATGATTTATGTATATCAATTAATTGTTTTAAACTTTTAATTTTTGCTTGAATTTGATTAAATTCAAGTCGATGTTCTTTCTTAAGATGTTCAATTTCTTCTAATTTTGTTAAATATGTTTGATGTTTATGTTCGAATGAATCCATTTCAATTGATAATACTTCCCATTTTTCAATTAGATCTTGAGCTTCACTATCAAATGTTGTACTTGATATTGTAGAACGATGACGTCTTCGTTTTAAACCATCGTTACGTTGACTTTGTTCGGCAGCAGTCATAGTTTACTTGAATATAGACTCAAGCAAAAGAGCACTTTATAGCTTTCGACTAAAATCACGTTATCAAGCTCGTGTTGGCAAAGATATGAAAAAGAACGACCATGCATATTTCTCGCTGTTCTTTTATTTTTCTCTGTTCTTTTACTTTTCTTTTGTTGATTAGAATGAAATAGGATGCTTACAAGTCAAGGTCAATTCGTGTTTTTTTTTTGTCAATTTAACTTAATAATATTGAAAAAAGTTTACAATGTTCGTATCAATATTATGGGATATTGATATATATTTTAGGTGGCATTTTTTTAAGCAAATTTAAATATTTATCATGACTTTTGTCTTCTTTTGAAAAGTCATTAAATAAAATATCTCTATGCTTTTTTTTCGAATGCATTTCTTTTGATAGATTTCGATCATCTTCTATATCAGATTTATTTCCTAATGCATTTAATGTATCATTTGGATCATAACATAGTTTAAATCGAAGACGAAGAACAGTCACTAGTAAAGAGCATTTTATGTGTTTAGCAACTTTTTTATCAATTGGTTCTTTCCAGCATTTTGCTTACGTATCGAATGTCATACGAGCCATCTTTTAACTTAGTCAGAGATTTTCAACAAAATAATATTTATCTAGAACACCTATATTAATAGACTGGAGATTAAGTATCGGTGACTATTGCAGGAGAGAAAACTGCAAGAGAGTGTTTTATATATCATTTTTATTTCTTTTCGGTTTAAATGTGAAAGACAAAAAGCAATCTGCTATACAGAGAGTTAATGATGGTGTATGCTTTAAGTTAAGATAGAACGTAGCAATCACTGATATGATAAGAAAAAAAGATTAATAATGTTTGCCAGCAAATTTTAGAAAAAGTGAAAAGAACGTTTAAAATTTCATTAAAAAAGGGGTTATGAAAATCTAATTTTGTTCTTTGATTTTAACTCAAGTTGTAATGCATGCGCCAGTCCTTGTAAGTCAAGATCGATGCATAGACAAAATTCAAAATATATGATAATGGAAAATATGATCATTCTGTCTAGGTAACTTTAGATGGAGAGGACGAAAGTTATCATCTTGGTTCGATATCTTACAGTAAGTCTCTCAAAAACTCCAAGTACATGTATATCCTCATCAAGCAACCAAAGCATATTATTGCAGTAGCCTTCATCAACTGAAACAATGCATTATTAGCGGTTTTGGACTCTAAGACCTTGAATTTTCAGGGACCCATAACATTTAATTTTGAGTTTCAGGATCGACACATAGTGCATTGGAAAGAGTGTCCTTATAGATTTATCGTCGTTATTTGTATGTTAGTACGATGCCATACAAAGAGATTGTGAAACATGCTATTTGGTGGTTGATAGGTAGCTGTGTTACGGCCACAATATTTTGTTCTATCCTTGCCGACTGCAGTTCTTCAAATTTTAATTATGTAAAAGCAATGAAAACATAGATTTTCGGCGATGCTCTTTGAGGTGTACTATATATCGGTTCTGAAATCAGAANTTCGGTTTAAATGTGAAAGACAAAAAGCAATCTGCTATACAGAGAGTTAATGATGGTGTATGCTTTAAGTTAAGATAGAACGTAGCAATCACTGATATGATAAGAAAAAAAGATTAATGATGTTTGCCAGCAAATTTTAGAAAAAGTGAAAAGAACGTTTAAAATTTCATTAAAAAAAGGGTTATGAAAATCTAATTTTGTTCTTTGATTTTAACTCAAGTTGTAATGCATGCGCTAGTCCTTGTAAGTCAAGATCGATGCATAGACAAAATTCAAAATATATGATAAAGGAAAATATGATCATTCTGTCTAGGTAACTTTAGATGGAGAGGACGAAGATTATCATCTTGGTTCGATATCTTACAGTAAGTCTCTCAAAAACTCCAAGTACATGTATATCCTCATCAAGCAACCAAAGCATATTATTGCAGTAACCTTCATCAACTGAAACAATGTATTATTAGCGGTTTTGGACTCCAAGACCTTGAATTTTCAGGGACCCATAACATTTAATTTTGAGTTTCAGGATCGACACACAGTGCATTGGAAAGAGTGTCCTTATAGATTTATCGTCGTTATTTGTATGTTAGTACGATGCCATACAAAGAGATTGTGAAACATGCTATTTTGTGGTTGATAGGTAGCTGTGTTATGGCCACAATATTTTGTTCTATCCTTGCCGACTGCAGTTCTTCAAATTTTAATTATGTAAAAGCAATGAAAACATAGATTTTCGGCGATGCTCTTTGAGGTGTACTATATATCGGTTCTGAAATCAGAAATTAAAGTACAGCTCTAGTGTTTGATGAGGAATTCTGTAGAAACAAGAAGCTAGACTATCACTTTTCCGATTAACGTACCATGAGTTTTTCAAGACAACAATCTTCATGTTCTCCATCGAAATTTATCAACATAGATTGATCAACACGATAATTATTCAAAGATTAGAATTTTAAGCGTATGATTCACTACCCGATAAACGAACTTATTTGCGCTCCCAAAGATAATCTCTTGTATGGAGCGTTCCTTTAGCGCGAATGCAATATTCAATTAAACTCAAATTTCTATTGAAAATTGGCCTCTACCAATCCTACCAACCCGGAAAAATATCAGACTTCTATCTCTTGCCAGCCATGAGATATAAAACCTCAAAATTGCCTCAAATCATGAATTTTGCCACTATAGATACAACTCTTAGGATATACAAAACTCAACCGATTGATCAGAACATTTCATTATGAGTAAAAACTCGTAAGTATATATATTCATAAAAAAAATTTCAGCTTAGTCAATTAAGTCGTTCATGAAATATTCAGACCATAATAGACTCTACTGTTGGATCCTGTATTTTTAGAGCTTTGAAAAAAATATCAACACTTTCAGATTTTGTGAAACCGCTTGTCTGTATTAAATATGTTAAATTGAACTAAATCTGACAGATTCAATTAAACACGTTGTCTATTCATCGGTTGGGACTTACGTTAAGTGGCTCATAAGTGCAATATACAATTGTTGTGGTATCAGTTAAGTCTAACATTTGATGAATATTTGAGATGACCGTTGACATCATGCAACAGTCCCACTCAATATTTCGACAGTTTATTATTGTCAATCGTAATTCATCCGATGCAGAATCGAACATTATTCAAAAAAGCGATCTATTCTCATTATGTCTGATTGAAAAATATTTTCGAGTTTGCTTCACATTACAAATGCACATTAATTATGGAAGAGTCAACATATAAGTACACAAACATGACAATGAGTCACTATAAGTTATTTTTCTGAATTGCAATCGATTATTGAGTTCCAGTAGATTACAAAATGTTGTCCGTTGAGTCAGTACACGAGTCATCGACAATTATACAGTTAACTTCAGTTTGAGTAATCGCTTGACAAAAATCATATATTGCTTTCAAACACTGCTCATCTTGAAACCTGATAAATAAAACATAAAAATCATACGAAAAAAAATTCTCAATAGCAAACTGAAACTTGCTCCCATTCAGATCTCGAAGTAACTAACAAAAGAAGAGCATTGCTGAGTATTCAATAGTCAAAATTCGATGATGATATCTGCACCATAATTCTTGTTTTTTAAAGATTATTACAAATAGTTTGATATTTTGTACTACTTAATCTTTTCTCATTCAGGCTATCAAAAATTGATCTATTCGTACATTTGGCATAAGTTTAGTCTTATATGTTGTAAAATTATGTTATGAAAATTATTTTGTTTTTTCTTATCTCAAGTCTTAATACAAGCAAATATCGTGAATCATAGATTATTTCAGAAGATTGACAACAGGAACATTTTGCAACAATATTGCTTTTGTGTTTGTATTGTTTCACCTAGAGAATCACACATGACTACATGGAATTGAGTCAGTTCTATTTGATGATACGTTACTTCTTCTTTCTATAAATTCGGTTTAAAAGAATTTTTTTTATAGAGTCATCAGATAAGTCTAATGATTTTGTTCGAAAAACTTGACATTGAATCGAGAAACACAAATGACAAAAGAAGGGCAAAAACTAATTCAAACATGTGCAATCCAAAAGATGTACCATGTGTATTTTATTAGTTTCTCAAAATTTCTGAGATTATGTTCAGGCTTATCTTAGAACTTATTTTACCAGCATGAAGTAAAATATTTTTTTTGTAGCTTGAATGATAACCATCGAAAAATTGTACTTACTCAACCTTAATTAGAAATTTGTCTTCATCTGTATCATCAGATTGACAGTTTTGTATTTTATTGGCATCAAGTTGTACTAAAGCATCGTTGAATCGTGCCATGATATCTACACTAAGATATATAGAGGATTCATCATATGATCGTATTTGGTACCTTTTGATCTCAATGTGAATAATAATTGCTTTGTGTTTGAATAACTCAGCATTTCGATCATTTCGGCATCGTAAAATAAAGATTCATTCTAAAATGAAAGAAAAAAAATCGTTTTCCTTGTTTAAATTCAACTGCCCAAATTCACCATAGGTGTTTGTGCTAATAGTGCAGCATTATGATCGATATGTATTCTAGATTGCGAAGGTAAGATTGTGTTTTCATCGTCAAATTCAGAAAAACCAAATAGTAGATCAAGAAAATTTTCAGCATGTTGATATAAACTATTGAATTTCTCATATGGTACTTTGAATAGATCGCATAATTTCGATGACATTGTCGTCCGAAATGATTGATTTTCCGATACTGTTCGAAACCATGCCAGCATAAAATCTCGCTCAAGACATTTAGCAATACCAAAAATGAGTTCATTGATGCCAGATGGTGGTTCTGTAACACAGAAGTCTACATCAACATACTGTGTGCTATTAACCATTGCAACGAGAGCAATTCGATTGTAATAGATTATACCATCTTCTTTGGTTGACTTGATTTGTGGATGAACAGTATTCAATAATTTACAAAATTCGTCTACGATACTTTGTCTATTACGACCAGCCCACATGTTTGTATAGATAAGTGCACAGAAAACATTTCTCTGATGACACTCAGAAACCATCCAAGCAACGTGATCTAATACGGCAAATGAGCCAGGCGATGCACAATAGATCATACATAATGGATGAGTTTTTTCGATTAATGATGTCATATAAGTACAAACATCATTTTCATTCCAAGATTCGATCCCCGGTGTATCCCAGAAAGTGGTCTCATAAGTTACGTGACCAACTACATTTAGAGTTGAATATCGATCGATACTTTTTGTACAAGAATTTAAACTTGCATTTGACTTTGAAAGTTTCTTTTGACAGATAGCATTGATAAGAGTACTCTTTCAGACGCGAGACGAACCACAAATAAGGATGTTCGATTGTAAAAAAATTGTCTGCCATGAGCCTTTATTGTCTAGAAGGTAATCATGAATATCATGCAACAAATTATTTGTAGAAAAAAACAGAAAATCAATAAGATATTTAATATTTGTTTCTTTCTTTCTGATGGTAGTTGAGACAGAGATATTGGATTTTTCGATCATCCGAACGTAGCTCACACTCAAGCAATCCGACATGAATTAGGTGTCGGTTTGGATGATCGATGGGTGACGATGAGGATCATGGTGGGCTCTCACTCACCTTCGATAGGTTCTTTTATAGAGTAGTGAACAACGAACAATATTTGTGATTGATAGTAGGAATTTTGACTGACACTCAATTTGAATTTGAATTTGAATTTACCGAACAACACAGCGAACAATAACTATCAAGTTAAAAAAAAGACACTACTATGTACGAGGAAATAGTAAAATTTCCACCTCAAATTTTGTAGCGAATATGAATCTGGGAATGTGATTATATTTAGAAAGAAAAAGTAACATGATCTGCAAAAGATGATTGCATCTCTTAACGGAAGTTGATATAATTAATCAGATTTTTTTTGACATATAGCTTCATAAGACAAATGGATTAAAGCGAACAATTTTTAATACATCTAAGAGCAGCACGATTAATGCATTAAGGTAAACAAAAAGAGAATCAAAGCATTGTACAATAGACGGATATGGATCATTATAGTTCATAGTTTCTTAAAAACTGCGTTCAAAATCAATGGCATTATAAATTTTGCAATATCTTTGCCATGTTTCTGAAGAAGTTCTTCGACAACAGGTCGTGATATATTGAATAATTCTACAACTTTATCACGCATCGTCGACCAGAACAATTGATTTTCAGCAATCGTATAACACCAAGCAACGAGTTTATCATCTTTCAACGATGTTATGATGGCAAAAATAAGTTCATTAATACCTTCGACATCTTTTCTTACTCCAAAATCTGTATCTTCGTAAATAATACTATTCACTGATGTACACAAAGCAACATTTCCATAATATTTTATATTGGCTTCTTCACGTGTTATAGAATGATAACGAATAAGAAGTGAATGAAAATCATTCAATACTTGAGTACGTTGTGGATTTCCTCCACTGTATTTGTTTGTACAGACAAGAGCACAAAATATATTTGATTTAATACATGTTTCGACAAGCCATTGTAATTGATCGAGTCGAGCAAATGAACCTGGAGATGCACAATAAATCACACAGAGTGGAGTACTTTCAAGCATAATTGTCGTAAAATGTTGTTAAACATGATCTTTAGTCCAAGATTCAATACCCGGTGTGTCCCAAATCGTAATAGAATATTCAGTTGAACTTGCAGCTTCATTCACTGATTGACAAGTTTGATTTAATACATACTTTTTCATTTCATCAGTTGCTGAACATAAACTACTACTTGTTTTGGCTACTTGTTTTCCACATAAAGCATTAACAAGAGTACTTTTGCCAACACGAGCCGAACCACAAATTGCTATATTAAACTGTTTCGTCATAGTTAGTAGCAAGAATAATTATCTAGAAAAAACAAAAAACAAAAGGGTCTTTATTACATGATCTTGAAACACAAGACAAAAAAAATAATATAGCACACAATTACACCGGACGTTTTCGACTCATGCTAAAAATATACAACATCGCATTTGTCTGGATCGCTCCACTAGTAATATTTCGTATATTTTCCATGCGAAGCGAAACAAAACCATCAAGCTTCTGGCTAAACTTTCACCAATAGGTACGCCGGTACAACGCGGCACTACACAAGCCAAGTAATTTTTCATTATCAAGAGCTTCCATTATACAATGAATGAGTTCGTCAATACCTTGTATCGGTTTTTCCTCGGTTGAATAATCGGAATCGTAATATTCAATTGAATTGACCATTTTACAAAGTGCATTATTACCATAAATTGTTACTTTGTAAGAAATTCAAAAATGTAATTGATCAAAGAGCTTTTCAGCTTTATCTCCGAAAATGGTCAATTCTTTTTCAAACTCACAAATGACTTCTTTTTGAGAAGCATTCGACCACATATTTGTACAGACGAAAGTCCAAAAGATCTTTTTTTCCTGACAAAATTTCAATACCAGACGAACTTATGACAAATCAGCGAATGTTCCGGGTGCAGTACAATAGATAGCACAAACAGGATCTTTCTCTTCAATAAATTTAAGCATAGTTGTTACTCCACCTTGATTCGATATCTGGTGTGTCATAAAAATTGATCCGAAATGGTTTTACATCAGGCATTTGTTGTTAATTGTCTTCCAAAAAGTAACATAATACTTCTTGCGTGTATGAATTCAAACTGACACTTGTTTCACCCTTATTCTTACCGTTACATATTGCATTAATGAGCTGGCTTTTGTCAACATGTGATGTACCCATGAGAATAATATTGAATGAAGTTTTTCTGTAATATGATTTACTTCGGTTGGATAATAATCGTTGCACAAACCTTGTTGTACTTATGAAATTTAGCCGTGTAAATATGAAACTGCACTCTCTTTAGTCTTTACTTTGTCCTTCGTTGAAGTGTTGACTAATTCTCTATCTGAGTTTAATCCTAATCTTTCAAAAGACGTAGTCATCTTATCTAAAGGTTCTGATCCAGTTTGTTTTGTATCCTAAAAATGTACATTTGAGTTAATGCGTTTATGATGATCACAATTTATCTGATATTGTTTATAATTTTTTTTTCATGTCTTTGTAAATACTGAGAAACAATTTTACAATAAAAATTCGATGACATTGTCCTTTTCATTATTATTAGTCGTCATATTCACTTACCATGCTAATTATTTGATGAATGATCTTCTAAAAGTGAAAAAATAAGTTTATAAATTTATTAAAAAAATTAATTGCAATCTTACAGCGATGAAATCTTGAGTTATCTTTGTTAAAACCACTACTGTTTGTATGATTTTCATCTATATCAATACAATTGTTATGCTCATGATAAGCATAGAATCCTCATCGAATGTATTTTTAACATTTGGAACAGTTAATAGTCTTATCACCGCATTGCATTAAATGAGCACCTATGACTTCGAAAGTTGGCAATTTTCATCGTATAATTGACAGAAAAATTCTCGGTTTTGACAATTCGTTTTCTAAAATGACTGAGCTTTTTTTTTATCAGTGATCTTCAATATTTGCTAACTGTATGTTTATCTAAAACGATCTAATTATCATATCCTTGTCCACAATCACATGTAAATGTGGATGCTACATTGTTCTAAGCAAACATTCCATTCAACTTGTTTCTACTGGATTTAAAAAAGATAAAATTTGAACTTGTTACTCATATTTGAGACAAGACTCACTTATTTAGACGATCGGAGGACGACATATCATCTAGAATAAAAAACGTTCATAAATTCTCTCATCTAGCAACATATGTCTTATAGGAGGTTAGTAGGTGTGCTCTACAGACTCAATTAAAATTTTCGTATTTTAAAAGGATGAGTTCTTTCGAAGTACATTCATGTACGCTTATACTCCAATACCACAAAACTTGAACGAAAGGCAATCATGAATGGAGAATCCAAGTCCGAAGTCAAATGCCGATCTTATTCATAATTAATAATTTTTCATATTTACCATACAACTTGACATAAAATACATTAAGTATAGCACTGGCATCAATTAACTATATGGATCGAGGAAGTATAGTTTTTTATGGAAAATATTCAAAAATAATTAATTATTAATAAAATCAAAGTTTGATCTCGGATTCGAATTCTGTATCCATGATTACTTTTGATTATATTGTGTGGTATTGAAATATGAGAGTACGCGAGTGACTCATATTCTCATACTACTTTTAAGGCATTTTTATGCGTTCGGTCTTGGTATTGAGTATATCCCTCGAGAGAGCATTCCTATTTCATAGATTTGGATTGCTTGAAGTATAATTTAGATGGATTTCTTATAAGAATTTAATCTTGTTACCATCCTCTAACAAATGATTTATTATTTTAATTTTGATCTATAGGAGCCTATACCAGATTTCAAATTGTTTTGAGTTTTTAATTTGACATACATTCTTATCGATCAAAATCAAAATAATAAGTCATTTGTTAGAAGAGGGTAACAAGATTGAATTCTAATAAGAAATTCATCTAAATTATAATTCAAGCAATCCGAATCTATGAAATATGATTACTCTCTCGAGGGATACACTCAAATCAAAAGCCGAATGCTTACTAATATGTAAAGATATACGATAAAAAATATTTTACTTTTAAAACTCTTATCTAACTATTGCACGTTCTATGAAAGTAACATAGATAAAGATTATTTTATAGATTTTGAGTCTTTTCAAATATATTTAGTTGAACAGACATAGAAAATATATATTTAACACATGTTAACTATCATCCAAAATATATAATACTCAATTGATATAATTATTCAGAAATTGTGTTACTAAACAACATGCTGATATATATTTATCAAACTTATTCTCTACTCTTTATTTTGTGACGATGAAAAAAATATTTGTCTTATACTTAGTGTGAATCGTTGTTATCATTGTGTCTTTATGCAGTCTAATACTAAAATAGGCTGGGACATGTTTTTTTTCACATGGTTACGATACAAATATAAAGAAAAAGAGTAAAAAGATAAATTTTATAAAATTATTTTAACATTTTTACTAATAAACCATTGCCTTAATAAGAATGTCAGTTAAGCACAATAAATTTTGAATAATAACTTAGATATTACTCTTTAATATATATCTTCGATCTGTTCAACTTTGTATATTGAATAAATTTTAAAAAAGTCCGAATAGACTCGAAATTGATGACGTGGTCAGAAAAACGAAGACTAAAACTATTGGTAATGTTCAATCGTTTTACATGTATCTGCATTGCCTATGTGAAAGTAAAAGATTTCGATAGAAGCACTAAAAATCTAAAGACTAATTTGTGCTCAGCCACACAAGTAAGTTGCCGTTCTACCATCTATATTAACCCTTAAATCACTATACGAAAAAAAATATAACGCGCTGCCGAAAACTATGTCAAGTTATGAATGAATAAAAATAAAAAAGCTACGAAATAAGAATCATGTACTATTATGGATGAAACAAAAATGATACTATCATACAAGAACTAGATCATTGAATGAACGAATCACCTAAACAAATAAGAAAATTGACAGAAATAATACAAACCAACAAAATAGAACTGAAGAGAGAAAAAATATCTTTGCAACCTATATAGAAACCATTGGATCATTAAAATAAACTTTGAAGAACTTGAGATATTTTCTGACAATGATATGTGAAGAGATCTAAATTATTCTAAAGTGATGATGACTCATAATATCTTATAGCACATTGCCAACTGATATCAGGCAAAAACAGTACTCATAAAAACGCGTCTTTTTAGTGTCTTCACCGTTAAATTTATGGTTGCATTTGCTTACCCGATAAGAAAATATAATTTTGAGTATGTTGGAATTTTTTCATATGACTCATTGCAAAAAGCAAGTCAACAAATCACATGACTAGCTGAAAATATTGACTAATGCAAAATATGCGAAGTTAATTGCACAATGAGAGGAGAGAAACAATGAACAAAGATTTCTCCCATCATGAAGGTAAGGCCTAGTAACGAAATCCTAGTTGCGCCACTCGTCGGAACTCAGTATGTTATTGTTGAAGTTAATTCCTTAAAATTCTACACAAAAGCCTCCAGAACTCTACAAGTTGATGAATGAATAATATCAATTTTTTTAGGCCATTCTCCTTTTATAATAGGCACAATGGAACAATGTACTCATCAATTTTTTGCTAACAATAATACATTCTGTAGAAAAAAAGTAGAAGCCTACCGTAGATGCTTATTCATTGAATGATTGTGTAGATATCTGACAAAATCATGTTGTTGATGTCTCTTTTTTCAAATGGCTGCTTGTAATGACATAAATGACTGAAAAAAAACAAATTCTAGAATTGAATATTATCACAAGAGAGAGGAAGAAAGACATTACTCAGTCAGACAAGCGTTGAAAAAAGCGACGTTTTTGCGCATAAAAGTCGCACATTTTCTAGGCGTTAAAAAGCGTTTATTTTTCGAAAAAGAATCATTTTCCCGATGTTGCTATTAGGGTGTGGGTGTGGATGCGAGTGTGTTTTTCATTAGCCAGCACCGATACCCACATCCACACCTCATCCATACCCCACGGCACCACGCCCACACCCACCCACATCCACAC